GGCTGGGCAGCAAGCACCTTTGCCCACTAAACTATCTTGTGACAGCTCTGTATCAGTTAGGATCTGGTGAACCTGCTAAAACAAAGAAACCCATACAGTCTAATGGCTCATCTAGAGTTATTTCTTTTTTCTCTGTATTTTAAGAGCATTTTAATTTGTGGCAAACATACATAACGAATACTTTGCTATCTTTTCAGGGTCACTGTTTCGTAGCTACAACGATACTCCCTTTCTTATGTAACTATCACCTTTGTGCATCTTTAGCCTTTTTTCATCTAGTGGAATCATGGTGGGGTGTGACTACAGAGGTCAGAGGAAAAATTGCAGGAATAGGTTCTCTCCTTCCATCCTGTGGGTTCCAAGGAACAAACGCAGGCTTGGCAGCAAGTGCCTTTACCGGTAGAGTCATCTCATTGGCTCTCCTTCCTGGACCTCTCTATGGAGGCCAGGCTGGCCTCAGATGCACAGAGATCCACCTGCTTCTGTTTCTTTTTATAAATATTTTATTAATTTTATGTGTATGCATGTATTGCCTGTATGTAGGTAAGTGCACCCGTGTCCTGCAATGCCCGTGGAGGACAGACGAGGCTGTCGGATCCCCTGGGACTGGAGTTACAGACAGTTGTTAGCCGCCATGTGGGTGCTGGGATTCAAAACTGGGTCTTCTGCAAGAACAGCCAGTGTTCTTAACCACTGAGCCATCTCTCCAGCCTCTCTTTTAAAAATTATATAATATTCCATTACATGTGCATACCAAATTGTGTTTATCCTCATCTGTCAGTGGACACTTGGGTTACTGCCACCTCTCTATTATTAAGAATAAATAGTGCTATGGCCCTGGGTGTGCAAATTAGATGTTTCTTTTTCAATATTTGTTTTATTTTTTATTTATGTGTATGTGTGTTTATGTATGTATCCCTATATGTGCGTGCCTGTGGAGGTCAGAAGAGGATGTAGGGTTCCCTGGAGCTGGAGTTACAGGTGATTGTGAGCCGTCTGCATGGGTGCTGGGAAACGAACTTGGGTCCTCTGTGAGAGCAGTATGTGCTCTTAACTGCTGAGCCATTGCTCCAGCCCCAAGATGTTCATTTCTTGACCATGTAACAATCTCAGGTCGGGGCTGGGGACTAGAATGTGTTCCCATGAGGTAGTTGTTCACAAACCCAGGTTTCTCTGGCTCCACTTGTTCCTTCGGGCCTTGTTATAGTCATGCCCAGCTAACAAGAGGGAAAGAGAGCCAGGCAGGCCCAATCATGAGGCCCACTTAGCTGCCGAGAGGAGAGATGGCTAATCCTTGGGTGTGAAGACACACCCAGGAATAACTATAGAGTATCATGGATGAGAAGAACAGGCCTTAGCAGTAAGCCATGTCTGGAAACATATTGACGGGATCTAGAATCACCTAGGAGGTAAGCCTTCAGGCACACTTGTGGGGAATTATCCGCATTAGGTTAACTGAGAGATGGCAAGACCCACCTTAACTGTGGCAGCGCTTTTCAGTGGGCTGGGGCTCTGGACTAGTAAGAGAGAGGCAGAGAGCAAGAGCCTGAAGGGGGGAACGGAAGAGGAGAAGAGGCACAGAGAGAGGAGAGCGAGTGAGTGAGTGCTGAGCACCAGCATTCATCTGTTTCCTGACTGTGGACAGCGTCACCAGCTGCCTCAAGCTCCGTCATGAGAACTGACTCCCACAAGTTGTTTTCTGACCTCCACATGTGTGCCATGGAATGACTGAGTGCACGTGTGCACACGTATGCAATAAGTAAATGTAATAAAATTTTAGAAGATTCAGTTGCTGGGAGAGAGTGGATTTTTTTAAAAACTTTTATGTGCATACATGTATTGCCTGCATGTAACTGCACCCATTTCATGCTGTGCCCTCAGAAGACAGAAGAGGACATTGAAACTGGAGTTACAGACAGTTATTAGCTGCCATGTGGGTGCTGGGATTTGAACCCAGGTCCTCTGCAAGAGCAGCCAGTACCTTAACCCCTGAGCCATCCCTCCAACCTGAGGGCAGACTCTTCAGTGGAGCTGTCTGCACACTGCACAGGGAGCTCCAGGGTGTAGCTTTCATGAGGAGTCACCCACCCTGGGGTGGGAGTTTTGGTGACACAGCTGCCTTTAGTCATCCATGCTCCTGTAAGCAACCCCTCATCTATACGCCAATAAGTAATCCCAAATACACTCATTGGTTCGCCAAGCTAGACTGGGTGGTCATTTCTGTCATTGGTGGCCTGAGTGAGCAGACATCTGTTCACGTCTCCCCAGGAAAGTCACATAACAGGCACAGAGGCTAAAATGGGTTAAATGACATGGAGAAACTCAGCAGGCATCTCTTTCACACAACCATTGTGCCTTCTGTCTGGTTAACTCCAAAGTCCTCAACATTTAGCTTTCTATCTGGTGGTCCTGGTTGGCTCTTCCAGATACTGCTGCTTGGTCCTCAGTTTGGCTAGTGGGAAGCAGAAAGGGACAGAGAGGGAGGAAGTGGTCCAGTTCCTCAGTCAGGCTACTGCAAGACACCTTAAGGACTGGTTCAGATGAACACAGACTCCAGACATTTCTCATTCAAAGGTTTCTTGGTAGAGCATACGCATAATTTCTTTTGGGGATGCTGGTTGGGAGGAGCAGGGGTTGACACAGTGTCTGATGAACCCAGGGTGGTCTCAAGCTCCCTAAGTAGCTGAACTCCCAGTCCTTCTGCCTCCACCTCCCAAGGTCTGGGATTACAGGCAGGACCCACCATATCACTGTCATTACCATCGCAGGAGCATATTTGTTCTTTCTGAAATGCAGTTACAGAATTTACGGGGCTGGAGAGACAGCTCTGCAGTTAAGAGCACAGGGCTGCTCTGGCAGAGTACAGGGGCTCGGTTCCTAGCATCCACATAGCGGCTAACAACTGTCTGTAACTCCAGTTCCAGAAGAATCCAACACTGTCTTCTGACCTCCAAGGGGACTGCATCACATAGGGGCACTCACCCACATCCAGGTAATACACTCATACACATGAAGTAAAAAACAAGTAAGTAAAAATTAAAACAATACACTTTTGTAATATTTGTGAAGATGGGACACAGACATTTACTAGTGACATGTGCTTTTGATTGGCTCCCTCAGCAATTCACATTTGAGGATTCATGCAGACTGAGAACGGAGGGTGTACATCAGACACAGCAGTAGAAAAGTACTGCTGAAAATAATCAACAACTGCCATTGCCATTGAAGTTTACTCGGGCCAGGTATTGAATCAAAGAACTTGCACAGCACATTTCACAGGCAAAAACTCGAGGCTGATTAAGTATTAGGTCACAAGTAAATCTGAATGATAATAATGGTTGATAAGTAATCTCAAGCTTTGGCAGATGAGGTGAGAGGGTGCAAAGTACCGAACAGTGGCATGACCAGAGGGCGCAGCCTACAAAGACACAGCCTCGTGGCAGCGCACCTGTGATTCCAACCTTGCGGGGAGGCTGGGGACTACATTAGGGGAGACAGGGGATCCCCAGAGCAAAGTGGCCAGGAACACCAGCCACGTGAGTTCTGGATTGGCCTAAGAGACCCAGCCTCAAATAAGATGCAAGAGGAATCGAGGATGATTCCTGACATGAACCTCTGGTCTCCACAGGCACTCATCCACACACATGTGCACATGGATCCTTGCACAGTTAAAAGTGTTGGGGAAAGGAAATGGAAACCATGGAAAGATGCACCTTTACTGGAGTAAAAGTAAAAAGAGTTTAGGGAGATAAGGGGTGCCCAGGACCTCTATTCCTGGTAACTGTTACTGAAGGGGGCACACAATTGTCCTGCCATGTCTATTAGGTTACAGCATAGCCCTCCGACCTTCGGGGGCTAACGATGGAAGAAATATTTAACCTTATCACTTGGTTTAACCTGTGAGCTTACCTTTCAGTTTTGTTAGCTTAGTGCCAGGAAGGAATACTTCGTTATATTTACCGTTCTCTGTTTACTCGTTAGCTTTGGGGCTAGCTGAAAACCCCTGAGATCCGTTCACCTTTAGCCTTGCAGTCGGTTACAAACAGCCTGCGATCTTTATCGCTGGCTGAGAAGCCAGCACTGGTTTATTTTTAATATAGCCACGGAAGGCCAGGGCTTCAACAAGACTTACAGGCTTGGAGATTTTTTCATTGCAGCGCTGGAAGTCAGCCTCCTCTTGACTTTTCTCTCTACACACCCTAAGGGGCCCAGCAGTGAGGGTGTGCCGGCAGCTGTCCTTAGGGTGGGGCTTCTGGGGCATACAAAGTACAAACCTCATTGGTATTCCCATTTTATCTTGTCCTCAGGTGTGCCATACACTTTTAAAAAATTATTTTATTTTTGCCTTTTGGCTCCGCTGTAAAATAGGATTTTCTCTTTAGCACAGAAAATGCTTTTGCTTCAAATCCCCGCATCACTTGGTCCAGACATGGGAGGCCCCTAACTGCCTATTTTTGTAAGGGGAGTTACTGACCACTGGATGCCATTTGTCCCAGAGAAAGCTGACATACTTTCACAGGTCACATTGTGCCATGGACGCAGATGGCTACAGAGGACTCTTTTATTCCCTTTCTTTTTGGTCAGCATCGCCTAATACTTGGTGGATCATCCTCCTGGGAGGTAGCGTTTAAGTCACGGTGAGAAACGCACAGTGGAGCCAGACTCTGCAAGTTCGAGCCCAGGCTCCACTATTACCAAGTGACGTTCCTTCTAGTCCAGCGCAAAACAGGACCAGACCCCCGGATGAGGCCTCCCCAGTGGCTCAACCTTCCCTCCCAGGGGACACAGGTCGGAGATGGCGGGAAAGGAGGTCTCCTAGAGAACCGCCCGGGCCTTGGGGGGCCCCGGGGCCGAACGGGTTACGATGATAGAGACGACGGGAGGACCAGGGTGGCGAGAGCGTCCCGCGGGCAGCGCACAGCGCAGGCGCGAGCGGCGGGGTTGGGCTGGGGGGGCCCGCTCCGACACCCGGAAGTGTGCGCCTAACGGGCCCAGCCGGGCCTTCTGTCCTGGGAGGGGGCGGGGCCGCAGCCCCTCCGCGCCAGGCGGCACAGAGAGGGGACGGAGGACCCGGGTTCTAGACGCGTCCGGAAGTGGTGCCCCGAGGCGCCGCTCGCTACCATAGAGCTGGAGGGGGGTGGCGGCCAGGGGTCGCGGGGCTCGCCTGCCTAGAGCGGCGGCGAAGCGGTGGCTTCCCCGGCGGCGGGGGAAGGAGGGGGGGCGGCGCGAGCGGAAGCGTCCGGGAAGGTCACTTCCGGCCTGGGCGCCCGTCCCCCTGACCCCAGGGTCTGAGTCGCCGCTGCCGCCGCTGCCACCATCCGCGAGGCAGGCGACGGGACGAGGAGTGCGGCGCGGCGGCCCCGGGGCCGAGGAGGTGAGGACGGGCGCGGGTTCGGGGAGGTGCAGTGCGCCGAGGGGCTCCGGTGGGCGCGCGTCGGGAAGCCGGGCTTCGGACGGGGGTGGGTGGGGAGGCGGGAGGGCGAGTGCGGCTGGGCGGGCGAGTGCGCGTGCGCGTTGTGTGTGTGTGGTGGGGGGAGCGGGCGCGCGGCCGGGGAGTGCGCGCGCGCGCGCCTGGCGCCGCGGCCGGGGAGGAGGGAGTGCGCGTGCACGACTCCAGAGGGCGCGCCGGAGACCTTGGCTGGGTGGACAGCCGCGTCCGTGTTCCCCTTCTCTGTACTCTCTGCCAGCTATGGCCGGAAGTGCTAGGGACTCCGGGGCGGGGGGGAGTCGAGGCCTGGTGGGGATAGGGGCCGTGCGGCCTGGACCGGGCTGACCGGAAACGGCGGCGCAGAGACAATCTAGGCCACAGTCCTTCGCTGCCCCTTCCTTTCCCTTTGCAAGTCAGCCCGGTCCGTTGCTGCCCCGGGCGCCTGGCGCCGGCCTTTGATCCAGCGGGTAATTACGGGCACGCAGGCGGCTGGAGGCCCATTCATTTCCCCCGCGCGTGCTGGCGGCCGGCGAGAAGCCGGGAGAGGAAGCGCCGGGCCAAGGTCAGCGCCGCGTGGCCCGTGCGGCCCCAGCCTGGACAGCGACCTTCCTCTCCCTGGCAGGCTCGGGGGTGTGTCCCGCGCCGAGCCCCGCCCCTCAACACCCTCTGATTACCCCCCCCCACACACACACACCGCGACCCACAGACGGAAGGGCGAGTGTGGAGTGTAAACCGAGGCCTGTCACAGTGCTAGGCCCACGTTGAACACCGGGTGTCCCTGAGTGGAAGGCGGAGACTGAGACCTGACCCAGCACTGTCCAAGGGAGATGGTCAGGGCTTCAGGAGGGCACAGCGCCTTGGTTGTTTTTTTCATGTAGTTTCTGGGGCGGTGCTGAGGGTATAGTTGAAATCTAGGGGAAGCACAGTGGCCTTGACCCTGGCTTAGCACCTACCTGAGGTCATAAGCCTCTTGGGGTAAGAGCAGCTGACCTTCCCTGCCTTCTCTGCAGCCACAACTAGTCATCCTGCTGTGGCCCAGAGCACATTCACATCAGATTCTGACTTGTCTCTGGGATGGGGAGGACTCACTTCGGAGCCTGGTCGTGGTGAAGGGCCAGGGCAAGTGACAGCTGCTGGAGCATGTTCCCCAAGAACTCTGGGGCTCAGCTCTTTGCTTCAGCTTCTTAACTTGTGTGACTTTAGCAAAAAAGTTCACCCTCTGTTTTCTTGAACACTACGAGTGAGACTGGGATCGTCCCCTGTGGAAGGCTTGTCATACTTTCCTTCCAGGCCAAAGTTACTGGAAAGGCCTCTGGAGCCAGTGTTCCTGAGTCCCAGCCTTTGACAGTTCAGTGACCTTGGATGTATCACTTCCCCTTTCCCAGGCCGTTTCCTCTTCAGTCCCCTAAATTGGGGAACATTGTTACAGTTCCCTGAGAAGCCTAACCCATCAAGACAACAGACATAGATGCTTCCGGGATATTGAATTTCTCTGGTGGGGACTCGAGTCCCCAAGGTCTCCAAGGGCCAGGTCTACTGGTGGGTGACACTGGGCAACTTGGCAGGGATTGCGTAGTTACTTCCTGTGCGGACTGCTCAGACCATGAGGGTGAGTTGCCAGAGTGGTTCTGGGAGCTCTTCCAGCCCAAAGGGAGGGACGTTGTGATCGCTGTGTGGGGCAGTGGCATTAGCACTGGCCACTCATCTTTAGGAACAGGGGAAGTTAGCCAAGAGGACCCTGAGGCTTAAGGAGGGGATGGTGGCTGCATAGCTCAAGTCCATCAGCAACTGTGCCTTTTGGTAGTTGCTGATGGGCACTCACAGGTCTTTTGGTAGTTGCTGATGGGCACTCACAGGTCTTTTGGTAGTTGCTGATGGGCACCCACAGGTCTTTGGTAGTTGCTGATGGGCACCCACAGGTCTTTTGGTAGTTGCTGATGGACACCCACAGCTTTTGGAGGTGCCTGTGGTCAGACACACTTCATAGGCCTTCCAAAACCTCATTCTGTCATCTGATTTCCGCAGGCTTTGCTAGGCATTGGGCCCCATATAGAGAAACTGCATATTTGATGTGGGCACCCACAGGTCTTTTGGTAGTTGCTGATGGGCACCCACAGGTCTTTGGTAGTTGCTGATGGACACCCACAGCTTTTGGAGGTGCCTGTGGTCAGACACACTTCATAGGCCTTCCAAAACCTCATTCTGTCATCTGATTTCCGCAGGCTTTGCTAGGCATTGGGCCCCATATAGAGAAACTGCATATTTGATGACTTGTACTGAGAGCTTGGCAGGCACCTGGTGCTGTGTCTGGTAAGCACTCTCTTAAGTTCTCCCAGGCCCTGGGATAGAGGTGGTCATTTAGGTTTTGAGGAGGTAGGACATGTCGATGACTAGCCTGGGCTCTTGAGCCCTAGGCCCTGAAGTAGGGTCAGGATATGAGTCTGTTTGGGTCCCAGAGCTGGTCCTTGATCACAATGTCATCCCTTCTGTTGAAAGGATTCTTTTGGGCAAGGTGGGGTCTGGGGTGACAGGCCTGTCTTTTGGTGTCAGCCAGTGGATTGGGGTTCCTGGTTTCCCATACTGTGGGTGCACTGTGGTGAGGATACCTACACACAGGACTGCTGATTGGGAGACAGTGAGGCCTGGGCCCTCATTCTCAGGGACCTGTAAGCATAGTCGGCTAGGCAGAGGTGAGTATTGAGACCCTTGCCTGTGGTTGTGGAGGCATCACCAGTCAACGGTGGATGGGGAGCCGGTGGATGGGGAGCCGGTGGATGGGGAGCCAGATGGGGAGCCGAGGCAGTCATACTCCTACTGCTAGCGGCCATGTTGTGGGAGTGCAGCGAGCTCTAGCCTTACCACATGGAGAGACCAGTCCAGCCTCTGTCCAAGTGGGCTGGACTGGGGTCTGCTCCTCAAGGGGTCCCAGTGACCCTGGACATCTCCATGCTGTTCCTGTTCTGTCTCTGCCTTGGCCTCTGGCCTTTCCCCCTTTGGTCTGCAGGAACAGCAGCTTCTCTCTTTTACCCAATGGGCGAGTGCTGTCCAGCTCCTTGCAGAGTGTCTGCCATGCAGTGCATGATGCTGGGGACTCAGAGACAGATCAGATAAAATCCCAGCCTCAAAGCCTAGGGCCAGGCTGTTCAGAGCCATGGATTTGGGTCTGTGTGCAGGGTCAGATGGTCGGTGCTGTGTATAGTCCCTGTCCTCTTTTGAGGTCTCGGTCTGCTGGACATTCCACATTCCGTGGGTTGTGTGGGGGAGGGGAGCGCATAGGAGGAGCTTTAGAGGTAAGATAGGAATCTCTCCAAGGGGAAGGAGGACTCAGTCAAGTAACAGGTGTTAAACGGAAGCAATGCCAGTGTCCTGAGAGGAAGTCTGACAGAGCTGGGCTTGACCTGCCTTTGCTCCTGTATGACACTGCGGTAGTCACTCAACTGTCTAGACCTTGGCATCCTTGTCTCTGAAACAGATTGAGTGGTGAGGTGTGCACTGTGCACTTTCTTGCTGGTGTCTGTTGGTGTTAGGTGCCTGCAGGCTTCTATCATGATTTAATACTAACATGGTGAGGAGGGATAGGCAGGTGAGGCAACTAGCCCCGGTCACGTGGTTGGTCTCTGGTGGGGTGGATTCTGACCCTGGCAGTCTGCCTGGAGGGATTGTCCTCTGGCCTCTCCCTGGTAGTTCGGAGGATCAGGATCATAGCTTATGTGCTTACAGCACCCTGCGCCCCATGGTCTGGGGTTTAATCTGCACTTGATGAAGTGTGATCTGTTACTGCTGGATAAGGACAGTTACAGTTGAAGGAAGAAGGAAGGGAGCAGTCAGGAAGGCTTCCCTCCCCAGGAGGAACTGTTAATGCTGGGCTTTGACACTAGGGCATGTTAGCCCAGCAGATCTAGAGAGGCAGAAACAAGTGGCCCCGAGAGGCCAGGTAGGGCCTGCACACCTAGCAGATAGCCGAGCCCCGAGGGGTGGGTCCAGGATAGCCCATGAGGTCTTTGTCTTTAATGTCTAGTTGAGTGGGGGAAGCAGAGTTCCCACGGGCCTGTCCCCTACTCCTGGCTCCCCACTGTCACTACCCCACCCTCACCTGGGGCTGACTCGTTTTAATCACTGAACCCTTACAGACATAACCACCCAGCATGCACAGTGTACTCCTGAAGTGCTCTGTTCTGTTCTGGTTTTTTTAAAAAAACAATTCTCAGTTACTTGCCAGTGGTTAAGAATCCACGTATTCAGGGATGAACCTGAAGTTCTTCGGACACAGGTCTGAGAGTGCTGCAGACTCAGGCCTGACTGGTCCTCTGCTTCTAGGGTTTGGTTGGCCATCGAGGAGCAGGGTGCCCCTCAGGTGCCTGTTGCTGCTGAATGCCAGAAATATCACAGTTTCGTAGGACATTAAGATTCTAGAAGTCTCTTCTGGAGGAGGGGTGGAGTAGGTGGGGCCAGACCTTTCTCTGTTCTGTTTCTCTGTTTGCTCCTTTTCCTCAAAAGCAGGCCCTACTAGCCCTGGTTGATAGTGACCGTGCTCTCCTGAAGAGGCTCCATGGGGTGCATGTGAGCGCCCTGTGTTCCGGAGCCCACAGGAAGCTGATGCACTAGGCCAGGTAGGAGGCAGAGGCATCCCATCAGCTAAAACCTGGAAGGGAGGGGAGACCAGGAAGACCAGAAAGCTTGGTTCGGCCGCATGCCATGTCTGAATACTTCCTCAAATCTGAATGAGGTATGGATAGTGTTCTCAGAGAATGTGACTACCTAAACTAGCTTGGGCACGATGCAGTCATCTCTCATGAGCTCACCTCATGCAGGACAGTAAATGCTCAGGGATGTCCCAGAGATGGGGAGATGTCCCCTGGATGGTCAGGCCTCACCCTGGGCCTGGGGGGAGGAGGATGTAGCTTTGGTATGCTGGACTTCCGCTTGGTGTAGATGTAACAAAGGGC